CCCCAAAACCCCAAAACCCCAAAACCCCAAAACCCCTTCGTCGAAATGCAAAATTGGTAAATAATAAAAATTCAAAGATGCTTCAAAGAGTCATATCTAGAAGAGCTTATGGCATCAGACACTTTTCAACTCATTCCAGAGTCGCAGTCATTGGTGGTGGAACTGCAGGCATGGCTGCTCGCTCACAATTAGCCGAAAATGGTGTTTTCAGACCTGAAGAAATCAGTGTTTTTGAGCCAAGGGAGACACATCTCTACCAACCATCTTTCACTATGATCGGAGGAGGCGTTTTAGGGAATAACCAAGCTACAGTTAAAAAGAAGGAATTTTCCCATATCAAAAGACCAACAGATTCTCTCTTCCATACAGGAGTAAACCTTATTAAAGAGAAGGTAGTCTCTCTAGACCCAGAAAACAATTCTTTCACAACCAACAAAGGACAGCATACTTACGAATACCTAGTTATTGCTCCTGGATTGAAATTAAGATATGACCTTATTGAAGGAGCTTCAGAAGCTTTGGACGATCCAGATCATCCAGTCGTCTCAATCTACAGAGAAGACTATGCCTACAAGACCTTGAAGCATCGAGAAAATTTCACTAAGGGGACTGCTTTGTTCTACCAACCTCCTTTCCCTATTAAATGTGGAGGAGCTCCCCAGAAAATCCTCTACCTCTCAGAGTCAAGATGGAGAGAACTTGGAACCAGAGGAAACATTGATCTCCAGTACTACACAGCAGCCAATGTTATGTTCCCACCTTGCGAAAAATACTCAATGGCTCTTGATAAACTTAGGACAGAGTTAGGTATCCCTGTCCATTTCGAGCATGTCATGAAAGCAGTGGATAAGAATAGCAAAGAAATTCTATTCACGAATACATCAACTGGAAAAGAACATGCCGTCAAATATGGTAAAGCTTGCTTTATAATATCATAGATTTCCTTCATCTTGTACCTCCTCAGACTAACCATGATTTCATCATTAATAGTCCTTTGGCAGGAGCAGGAGGCTGGACAGCTGCAGACCAAAACTCGATGCAGAATCCAAACTTCCCAAACGTATTTAGTGTAGGAGACAGTGCAGGAGTTCCCTCATCAAAAACTGCTGCTTCAACCTTTGCTCAGGTCCCTGTCATGGTCGAGAACCTAGTAAAGCATTCTCAGGGAGAAGAGGTGAAGGCTTCATTTAGTGGATACGGAAGTTGTCCTCTTTTTACAGGAGACAACAAATTGATGCTAGCTGAATTCAAATACGGAGGAGCTTCAAATGAAACTTTCTACAGTAAACAAGATATCCCATCAAGAATCTTTTACCAAATGAAGAAAGATTTGTTCCCTTGGATTTACTTCAACCTCGTCCCAAAGGGACAATGGTATGGAAATAAGACAGTTTTCAAGCCTAGATTCTTCTAAAATGTTCATCTGACCAATTTAGTCATCCACATATTTGGTGGAGCCTCCATCTAATGACAATATATGTTGTCTTTTCGTAAAAGTGGTGATTCATTAGCCTATCTTACAAAAGGGGTTTTGGGGTTTTGGGGTTTTGGGGTTTTGGGG